ATGTTGAAAGGGAGGCAGTGGTCCCCTCCTTTGAAACCAACAACACATACCTGAATTATCTTTGGAGTCATTCCTCTCTTGTCTTGAATAATAGTTCATTTCTTTGCAGCTGAATAGCCGTATGAAGCTGGCCTATGAAATCTAAGAAATCTGTCAGCCTTCTGTCATTCCTTCCCATATCCTTCTTCACTTCAAACTGGAAGCCTTCTTCCTGGGGTGTCATATTAAGTCTATGGTTCATACCCATACTAACCCCTTTATCAAAAGACACTTAGCCATACCTTTAGTATTCGCTCCCAAATGCTTTCTTATTTTTGAATATGAATAGCCTGAAAATGTTTCAAATCTTTAAATTTTGCTTCATTCTTGCTAAGCAATTTCATTTTAAATAATTTTTGTGTCTCGCATTTTACTACAAGTATTCAAGAGAAGCCAAGATACACCTGTGAAAATTTTCTGAAAAATCTCTCTAGCTGTGACTCTATTTCATTGCTCCCAAATTTTACATCCTGTAAAACACTAGAACACAAATACAATTTAGCAAAATTATTTTCTACTTTATAACAAGGATACCGTTTTTTCAAGTTTCTAATAACGTGTTCCTCATTTCCATCTGAAAGTTCACTAGAATGGCATTTACTGTCCATATTTCTATCAACATTCTGTTCCATGTTATTTAGATATTCTTCAAGAAGATTAAGCATTTCTCTATTATTCTCTTTTCTTTCTGAGACTTCACCAGAATTATCCTCAATGATCTTTTCACAGCAATGCAGACTTTTTCTAGCATGCACCTAAAACTCCCTCAGCCTTTATTACCCAGTTCCAAAGCCACCTCCACATTTCTACATGTTTGTTATAGTAGCAACCCACTTCTGGCACTAATCTTAGTTTGTGCTGCTATAACCAGTTATGGTTTACTAGGTGGCTTATGAACAGCAGAAATAGATTTCTCAAAGTGCTGAAGCCTGAAAAGTCTAACATCAGGCAGCAAGGCATGGCAATTTTGGTGTCTGCCAAGGGCCAGTTTCCTGGCTTATTGATGGCCATTGTTTTGCGGTGTCATCACATGGTCAGAAGGGAAGAGAATCCTCTCTTGCCTTTCTTATAAGGGTACTATCTCATTCATAAGAGCTCTACGTCCATGACATAATCACATCCCCACAGCCCCGTTCCTAATAATATTACCTTGAGTAGGGCCCCCCTCCAACCCCTGTCTGAACACCAGTACTGGTCCATGGCCTGTGAGGGACCAGGCTGCACAGCAGGAGGTGAGCAGCAGGCAAGAGAGCATGACCACCTGAGCTCTGCCCCTTGTGAGATCAGGAGCAGTATCAGATTCTCATAGGAATGCAAACCCCATTGTAAGCTGTCCATGAGAGGGATCTAGGTTGTGCATGTCTTATAAGAAGATGATATATATATATACATTTGTATGTATGGGTTCATATATTCATCTTTATACACGTATCCATATGTATATATCATATATATATGTGTTATAGTATAAAACCATTAGAACCACTTTGCTCCCTATTTTTAATTATGCTCAAATGGTGTCAGCAGTATAAGAATTACCTTTTTATTTTAATTAAGAATAATAAAAGAATAGATTCTTTATTTTTCCAATAGATCTGCTTTTCTCCTGATATAAATGACACTTAAGAAATGCCTCAGTTATCCACCTAGTTCACAAATAACCTATAAGTTATATCTTTTTATTTTTTCTTCACCCTCCATAACCAATATATCAAATGATATTATCTATTATTGTGAATATCTACATATGTGAATTAGATCCACATCTTAGATCTGATTTCCCAGAAACAAACCCTGAGACAAGGATTTGTGTGCAATGGATTGGTTAAAAATTTTGTTCCAGGTAAGGAAATGCAGGATAAAGTGGAGTCATAGGACAGGAATGGAAAAGAAGCCAAACGCAGGTATCAAAGCCCTACTTCAGCATGATGCTGTAGAAAAACTCTGGAATGCAAATAATATGGTGGTTTTCCTATTTCTGCACCTGTTATATACTGGCAATGGGATGTTATAGATGTTTGTAAACTTTCAGGCACATTAGGTGTCCTGTGCATGTGGGCGAAGGGGTTCCAGTAGCCAAGGGAAGTTGTTCAAAGATAGTTGCAGGTGCAGATCATTGGAAGCAAAAGCATACAAAAATTGTCATGTATGTAGTGTGAGTGTGTGGCCGTATTAAAGGATCAAAGGGAATCTGAGTAGCGTGTCACTGTCTACTTCAAACCTCTTTTCTATATGCCTTCGTTACCTCTTACTGGACAAGAGTCATAGAGCCTAACTGATCTCTCTCTTAACCAAATCCATTTCCTGCCCTCTAACCTATTTTCTAGTCTGCACCAGATTGATCTTTTCTGAACATATCACGTTAAAATCTTCCAACTGCTTTCAATGGCACTGAAAATGAATCAGAATTTCTTATTGTAGTTTATAAAAGCCTATGGGATTCTAGCCCCAGCCTAAGTCTGTTTCCCCATCTAATAAAACTAGATTGTTCTGCTCAAAGGCCTACGTTCCACACAAAGTGGGCATCACTGTTAGAACTGACCCCAGGAAATACAGAGTATCCTTTGATTGCTCTGGCAAGGGTTATAAGCAAGGTCAATGATCAAAATAAATTCTACCAGAGGAAAGAAACCAGGGTAACCCATGTGGTCAACTAAGGAATTTGTTGTATTTTATCAAAGTTAAGATAACAGCTACCCTTGAGATTCTCTGGCTGTTCATTTTCTGCTACAGCGTCACTGAGCTACAAAACGTGGGGCATGTTGTGGGCTAGTGGCTACTAGGTGTTACTTTTCCATTACACATTTTTCTAAGCATTATTGGACATTGTAAATTTCCTATTTCTAATTCAGGGTTTTATATTGGCTGTAATTAAGTTTGCCGCTTATTTCAGTTTATATTATTACAAATAGCCACATAAAGTCCTGATGATAATAACCATAACCTGAGATTTTGACACTGAAAAATGATGCAATTTTGGATTCCTGTAATTCTGAAGTTTAACCATATGTATGTATTAAGACCAGCATACATTTGTAACCATGTGATTGTATTAAGAACTAACAGTGACCAGTTTCTTAAATAATAGGTATGGAAATTAAGATACATTGATTTGTTGGACACAACCTGTAGCTCTGGGCCATAGCAAGAATCTGTAATACTACCTTCCAATGACCATTGTTCTTTCTGCTGAGTTGGACCCATATCTCTCTGCCTATAGTAGGAGCAACCATGCTTGATGATGACAATGACAATGATGATGCTTGTGATGATCATGATGATAATACTAATATATTGAGTTGTGTGCTAGCACTATGCTAACTCTTCCAGATGTATTGTCTTATATTAAAAACTGTGTTTAAGGTTGTGGGTCTGAAACCTGATTCTAGCACTTATTACCTGTATGACTTTTGTCATGTAACTTAAATTCATCAAACCTCAGATTTTCTATCTTCAAAATAAAATAAATCATTGGAATACACATGACTATTACTTTGTATTGATAAAAGTTTAAAACAATGTGTTTTGGGTCAGGTACTAATTAAGACCAAGTGATATAGGTTGGTGTTCAAAAATATCACAGATAGTAAGGCAGAAAGCCAAGCCTTATATTTGACCTTTATATTTTGTAATTCCCATTACTGAATTCATAGATGCTTCATTGAACATTGGGTTTCTGGCTTAAACCAGGTAAATCAGAGTCCATTTTCAGGATTCTTAAAATTCCAATTAGGAAATTGCTTTCTAAAATTGAATATTTTAAATATGAATTCAGGAGATATTATCACCCACATAATTTCTTCAAATTGAGGAGGCTTAGGTTGAGACAAAATGAGAGAGAGAGAGAGAGAGAGAGAGAGAGAATAGAATAGAATACTCAAGCCCCTAATTCTAGTTTTCATGATGAGGAAATGCCCAGCTGCTTCTTTGCTCCTTTTGTTGTTTTCCTTTCCACACTTAATTTGATTTTATAACTCAATGACTTTTTGCCTACTAGTTTGAGATTGGTTTCCATTGCTTAACAGATCATAGCCATGATCATCTCACATCTTCTACATTAAATGTCATATAAATCAAACCTAATTTGATAACAAATAAAACTAATTATAAAATACCAAATGAACTACAAGAATAATCAACTTATTATATTAACAGGGAGACATTGTTTCCAATTTCTGGATCAGAATATCCTATAGGTAACATGCCTTATCTAATTTTGCAATATCAACTTTGTATGCTCTTTTTTCTTATTATTTTAGAAATAAATTTATTCTTAGTTACCATGTAAAATTTTCATTTAGAGCATGTACTCTTCAGTCTCAAATAAACTTGACTGTCCTACTCAATAAATTGCTGAAAAACATAGTTATTGATTGGAAAAGATCGACATGGTAATGAGTATTGCAAGACACGATCCTGAGTATATTTGGTACCATTTAATTTGCCTTGAGGGAACATTTCAACGTGATAGAAGAAGGAAGAGTAAGGACAAAGAGGAAGATAGGAGGCAAAGGAGAGAAACGGTTTATTAAAAATGATGGAATATGAGAAGTGCTCTTTAAAATATATAATTTCATATGCATATGTATATGTCAATAAATATTCTACTTTTGTTAGTCCTAAGGACTATGGAATATTCACTGTGATAATTTGTATACTGTAGAACTTTTCAAAATATTTAGTGTTTTAAATTACAAATATATTAATATGCATCTGATTATTTTATAGTTATCTTCAATTCGCTGCTAAATTTGTTTAGTTTATTTGAGCTATATATGCCTTTCTACTTATCTATGTGATAAATGAGTTTTTCATGATTGTTCACTGATGTAATATAGAAATGTAATGTATATACAGCACATAATAAAATTTAAATAACGTTTGGAATAAGTTTTTCAGTTTACATGTTATGGGAAAGGGAAACGCAAGCTGATACAGCCATTTTTTCTCCTTACTTTTAGGAAAAACAAACAATACATTGAACTTGACAACCCACCGAAGTCGAAGATAATGAGGACTTACCATTGTATACCATTATTCATCTGGACCTATATATACCATACAGTTGACACCATCCTATTACAAGAAAAAGCTAATGGTTATTTATCAAGCAAAAAGATAGTGGGTCTGACAAAAGATGATGGTAAAATGCTACGTCGCACCAAGCGTGGCTGGATGTGGAATCAGTTCTTCTTATTGGAAGAGTACACAGGTACTGACACACAATATGTAGGCAAGGTAAGAATTTTTGAATGAGAAATCTAAAAGCTGAAAGTGACAGTGATTTATTTTTTATAGCAAATTTCCACATCACTAGTGATCATTCAAAAATGAGAAAATGAGTAACTAATTACTATGTTCAGAAGGTGTGGTATTGCAAATTATTTTAGTGAGGAAGGGCAAGGAAACGTATTTGGGCTGTAAATGTAAATCAGTATCAATAATGAGCATAAACTAATAAGTCATATAGATGGATGTGATTCATTATTAAACAACTAGTTATTATTTAATCATATGTGTTACTGGAATAAAACTCTCCTTGAAATCTATCGATCGCTTATCATAATTAAGAATAGTATACTCTGTGTGAGAAATAAAGTACTTCTAGATGTTTCTATTTCTTAATATCAGCCAGGTTGAGTTTCCTGCTTGTAATCCATACAAAAGTGTTCAAGGCAGTTGGATAAAGACAAGATTAAAAAAATAGGAGAAAGAAGGCACTATCTTTAAGTAGATATACTTCTGTGTTAGTAGGAGCAAAGTCACTCATGAGCAATCAGCAGCAGACAATAATAGAGAATACATAACTCCATTCTTGTGTTCAATTTTGAAGAAGCATGTTCATTGCCTCTCCTTCATCTCTGTTTAGAGACTTCTTTTTTCTTAACTTATTATCACTTTCTTTTTCTTTCTTTAGCGGCATAACCTTTCTGACATCCATAATTTTCTTTTTATCTATCATCCGTTTCCTTACCAATCACTTTCACACTATTCTAAACTCAGAACAATTTATTTGTTAACTGTGATTATTCTTAATATATACCCAATGCTGAGATATGTTAAAATTTTTACAACAAAACAAACATTTTAAGTACTACCAGTCTACAGACCATATATATATATATATTGAGTAATGGCATATATGTACTTGAAGGGACTGTAATGTTCTGAGTATTGTTTGACTCACTGACAGCACCAGGCAAATAAATTAGAACAGGCCAAAAATGAAAAAAAAAAAAATACAAGTACCTAATATCACAAACGTCATGCTTGTAGCTTTCAAACCAGAAATACATTTGATCATGAAATTGCCAAAATTTTGATCTAATTCTTCCTTCTGTGTGTGGGCCAATCAAATGTGGCCTCCTTTATCAGAAACCTATTATTTTATCTTCTTTTGAAATTTCTCTTTTCTGGTTCCATAGGTCATGCTTATTCTGCCCCATTCAGTTCCCTTGCTGGTTCTTTTGTGCCTGTTATTTCTTCTAAGGTTAGTCATATGGCATCCTCAGCCATCTCTCATTTAACATCACTTTTCACACTACACTTAATAACTAACATCGGGAAATTCAAGTTCAGCTAGCAAACATTTTTTTTGTCTAAGGATGTGAAATTGCCTTATGATTCTCCAAGGAAGTGTATAAAGGACACATTGAGGTCACAGGGCCTTACAGAAATGGTTTTATCCTTGGAGATTCACAGACACAGAAGAATAGCCACAGATAAAAAGAGATGCTCATAATCTTAAGGCAGTAAAAGGTCTAGAGCAAGCACTTATCTTTAGTCAAAAACAAAAATGCTTCCTTCTAAACACTGAGTGTACACTGATTAATTTCTAAATTGACCACCATTCCTGCTCTCACATTTTTAAATATACATTATAGTTTAAAATTTTCTATGTAACCATGCTTACTTTTTAATTAATTCCATAATCTGGCATAAACAACTACTAAATATATATACATGGTTTTGTTTAATTATTTTTCATAAATTTTTTTTATTTGTGTTGGAAAAATGGCATTTTGGATTTATGCATGAACAAGTTAAAGTGTGTGATGTTTGCCCCTATTTATTCTTGACAACAGGGTTAAGAACCTCATATAGAGCACTCATTATATCCGATGTTGGGGGGAAATAAATACAATGAAACAAAAACTACCTATCAACTATTTTATGTTTCCAATGGAAAATAATATGTGTATGAAAGAGACTCCTTAACAAAATAAAACACTTATACTACTTTTTGAAGAAAAAATAAAAACCTTTCCATTTTTTAAATAGGGACTTATCTAAGAAATGCCATTACCATATATCTAGTTCATTATAAAAGTGGGCTGGCTTTCAACCACATCTTAGCTTTTAGTAAGTTATTAAGAACATTTACACTCTTTTTATCCTCCTTTTCTGGCTTTCGACGTTGCTATTTATTTGCATTTACAATGGCTGACCAGACCCTTAACTCTAAACTTAGTCAGACATATGAGTTCTAATAAGGATTTAACTTCTTGAGCACCACATAGATTATCTTTTTGACTACAGTGTTTCTGGTTTCCCTGGGTAAACCTGTATCTAGTCTTCCAGATCCACTGTATTGGTGATATCTCCTGTAAAGAAAAGACCTATCATATTCACTATGCACCATGATTGGAAAGGCTAAGTAGCTTCTAACGGGAAGAAATTTCCATGGTTTCTTTATAGTTTTATGGATGCTAGGTATCACAGAAAAGGTTAGGCACCATATTAATTTACAGGTGCTATAAAATTGTATAAAATTGGAAAGACATATATTTAAAAGTTAAAAACTAGGGTTTCATCCTGAATTTGAGGAAGCAGTTTTAGAAAAATAAAATAGTGCATCAAAATGTAATAAATTATACACACACACACACACACACACACACATACCCCAACATGCAACCTACAAGATTTTGTCTTGATTGTGACATTTATTATTAGAATTCAGAAGTTGTTTAAACTTTACAAACCTCAGATTCTTGTTGGGTGAATTTACATGACATTAAAATTTCTTCCATTCTAAACTTCTGGTCTTTTCTAAGATTTTGGAAAGGTCTGATATTAAGTACAAAAACATCCAGAAACATTTTTGTAAATATGTGCATGTGCACAAATCTCAGAAGGTGAAATTGCATGCATATAGCAATAAAAGAGGCGAGTCTAAAAGGATAAAGCTAGGCCTTCACTATGAAAGGTCTGGAATTCTAGGCTTAGTTGTTTTTACATACAGCATGAAATGTGAATAAATCTGTTACTTGATACAAATCAGTTATGGGTGGAGCACAGAACTAAAATAATCGGTTTTCTTTCAGTGTCAGAATGGAAGATCTTAAGCAATCCGTTTTCTTTTATTGTCAGGATGGATTAGAAGTATAAGGAAATAAATTAAGATAATTTTAACAAGGCAATACTGCATAATTTTTTATGGCATTTCAGACATGTGCAATATAGACAAGTCAGAAATGTTGGAATTAATAGCAAGTTTCTGTTTTTCACAATAATGCAATTTCAAATTTGGTTGGTCATTCTTGACTAAAACCATCAGAGATTTATTAATATTGTTTTATGTCATAAGGGAAATGTATTGTTACTCAAGAGAAAAACAAAGTCATAATAATTGCCATCTAGCTTCTCTATAATTTGAATAGACACATGTGACTAAATTATTTAGGCAGAATAGTAATAATGCTCAAGAGAGAAATTAAAGTAATTTTAACAAGAAACATGCAAATGCCCCTACTATTCTGTTAGTCTTTATATCACTTTTTTTTTTGTACATAAGGACAAAAGTCTAGAATAATCTCTGCTTATCATGGATCGATAATCCATTACCATTCAGAATGGAATAGAATTTACCTATTTGATATTAATATCTGGCTGTTAAAGCACATTTATTTTATGAAGAGAAACTCAATATCCAGACACAGCAGACATAGTGTTTATTCTTCACAAGGAAATTGTGAAGATTCATTTAATAATTTGGAATATCAACTTAACTAAACATTACATTTTATTTTAAAAATATGTATTTAGCACTTGCTTTGTGCAGAGCAAGGAACATGGAGCTAATGAGCTGCCTGAAGGTAGCCACCATTAGAATACAATAAGGTATCTTTGTTGCAGAGTTATCTCTTACGTTTTATAATTTTAATTTACAAACTTTTGATATTCCATTCTGAAATCATGAGTGTAATCAGAGAATCTAGAGTGGAAGAGGATTTTAACATTTATTGAGTTCTGCTTTCTTGATCACAATTGGTTTTTATGTTACCTAAAACAATGGGAAACACAGGTAACAAAAGAAAGTTTGGTAGGAATCTGTTTTATATTTGATTGTGTATCGAAAGGTGGAGTGACACTCTTTAACACTTACATTTGCTTATTTGAAGGATATATAAAATAATGGACTTGAATAGGTAATTTTTTCTTAAACTTTTCAGATATGACAGTTTGATATGTACTAGTAACTGATGGAGGATAAAGTAGAAACAGAAATCGTAAATTTATTTAAAGAGTGTTGATGAGTTGTTATAGTATATCAGTGTTTTTCAGAATCTAAATTAAATAAGTGTATGATGGTTTTTAAGTGTGATTACTTATGGTGCAGTACATGGAGCGGCTGCTTTTGATTTATAAATACATTGTATTCCAAAATTCTCTCTATGCATTGGTTGTTTGTAAATCACAACACAAGAAAAACATTAAACGTTCTGACAAGACTTTAAGGACAGAATACTGAGGTGTGTTTAGCACTGATTTCTATAAAAACTCACTTTTAAGATATAGCTCTATCTTTTATTTTTACTGCCAGTACTGTATAATCATTGTGCTTGACAACTCCTTTAGCACACTAAACTTATCTTTTTCTAACTTTATTTATACTTGTTTTTTTTTAATGATCAGAAGCAGTTTACCAATATCTCTTCACTAATAACATTCTCTAGCACAAAAATACCTGTAGAAAACTAACCGAAATTTACTTAAGTAGAATTCAAAGTGTTCGTTAGTATTCTTGCATATTCCCACCTATGTTCTACATCCCCATAAATTTGTACTTGAGTTCTCGTCAACAGGATATTTCTTCTTCCATATAGCTCAGCATTTTTTTTTCATCATGTCTACAGCCCCCTTCCCATGGAGTATCTTACTCAGTTTTCCATAATTTCATATCTGATTTTTCTTTTCATTCTATATCCTATCAAAGCTCTGTGCCCAATCTTACA